ACTATATAAAAGGAAGTGTACTCATTACCTTATTCATGCAATTGTAATTCCTCTGTTCACCAAGTGTGTATAAACCATAAAGTAATTTTTTTAAAGCCAAAAGTGGTGGGTCACTGGTGGCACATCCTGAATCCCAGCTATTAAAAGGACTGAGATCTGAGGATCGCAGTTCAAAGCTAGTCCAAGTATAAAAGCCCATGAGGCTCATATCCTCAATAAACTACTCAGAAAAAGTGGCACTGTGCCTCAAAGGAAGCTCACAGATACCACCCAGGCCCCGAGTTCAAATTTCAGCACCAGCACACACACACACACACACACACACACACACACACACACACACACATGTTAAGATGAAAAAATAAATATAGACTTAATTCTTCAACGGATCAGTTACAGTGGAACGCTGCTTCTCATGGGTTCTCCAAAATCACAGCAAAACTAAAATGCTTGAAAGATTGCAGTGCCCTCATTTCAACGGTGAGAAGTTAATGATATCCCCAATCTACAATACCTAGCCAAGGCACTGTCAACGCAAGATGAAACTTGTCCTGATGTGCAATCATTTACTCTCCATTCTCTTTATCCCTAAGCATGTCCACACATGCAGTTGTCCAACTTGCTCTGTCCTCAAGTATCATGTGAATTGAGCTGATGAATGCCTCACCTGCCAACAGAGATGTCTCACCCTGGTAGCTCAATTCAAGTTTTTCAGATATAACTGGATCCAACTTTTCACATAAACAATGGAAATAACCCTTTTAACAATGGAAGCTTTGAGTTTTAAAGACCTTCATAGGGAATCTCTGCCCGGCAACTGATGATGCTATCCACTGATAATATGCAGATTGGTTTCTCCCCATTGAAATCACCCAATCCAGCACCAAACCAATGAATACCTTGATTCTCATTACTTGGGATGTGGATGCAGAAGGGTTATGGCTCTCACTGGATAAAGATGATCTGCTCCACTGGTTCTCATCTTCTATTTTCCAGCATGATGTGCTTGTGGCTTGAGTCCCCTGAGGACCCTGCATGGCCGCTCTAACCATGACAGTGAGGATGCAGAGTCCTCCCCTGGTGTGGTTAAGAACACTCAACCTTAGTACACATATGAGGGGTAAACAAGTAGGAATTGTGGGAGGAAGAGTGCTAACTGGGTCATTGTTTCCAGGCAGCATCCCTTAAAAAATATGACTGATTTTATGTTTATCATATGCATCCCAAATAATTTCCACAGAACAA